ACGTGGAATAAGGATTCCAGTTTCCAGCGCTTTCCCGTGCTTTCCGGCCAGATACGGTGATTTTTCCGCATCTTTCCGGCCGGTTCCTACAGTATCCGTCCTCCGGAATCATTGACCTGGGGCACAAAGTCAAAGTGATATTGATCAAATAGATATCGAACAAATTATTACTGATGCTTACCATGAAGCTGTTGATATGCTTGATCGTTTAGAAATATTGAAATTACTGAAAGAAAAACGTGTTCTTGGCTTAAACTTATTAAGTGAATATGTGTTTAAACAGCTAAATTCGAACTCAAAGATGTATGACTACTCATCTCAACTGAGCAATATACATGATGAAGAATTCGAATTAGCAGATGATGATGATGATGATGAAAGAGCAGATGATCTCAACATGGATGATGGTAATAATGATAGTAATTCTTCTAATGATGATTATACTGATGACGACGAACAAGATGATACTCGAAATTTAATAAATACGACGAAAGATGACTATGTTGGAATGAAAATCTTCAATACGGTTCAGACCCACATAGAACATTCTTACTTAAAAGTTACAATCAATGACGATATGAAATATATGCATAAACAAACTGCTTGTTGGTTATTAACCGGCGAAAAAAGTAAAATTTCAAACGATCGATTGCTTCGAGTACATCAGAATAATAAAAAAAAATGATTTTTTTTCTTCTTTATGTACCATTTTCTTGAATTTTTCAATAAAATAAAAACCATTTACTGACTTTGAAATTTTGGAATACATGAATGTGCTGAATACGAAAAAGAGAAAGATGGTCCATAATGGTCGCTGAATAAACACTAATAAATATTTCATATGAGAATACAGATAATACAAACAAATAAAAAATGAAGAAATCAAATTTCTATCATAGATTTCTGAAGATAGGCAAGAATTTTACAAGACTCCGCTTGACTCCACTTGACTCCACTCGACTCCACTCGACTCCACTCGACTCCACTTGACTCCGCGTGAGTGGAGTCTGCTGTTTCCCCCTTGTACAAACTACAATCATTTCCTTGTTCCTTTTTTTCTAATTTGCCATAAAAATCTGTATATTTTATTTTTGTTTCTTCTCTTGTTTAGAACGTATTGGTAGCGATCATGAATAATCACTTTAAAATAACTCTAAATAAGTAAATATTCAAATAAAAAGTATTTTATTTTCGTTTCAGGAGTGCAAGTTTGAAGTATTCGAAGTGCAATCATTTTATTTTCTTTCTCCTTTATTTAACTTACACTAACTATATGTTCATTTTTTCTTCTCTTCTCTTTTTTTAGAAAGTGTTGGTAGCAATCATGAACAATCGAATAATCTAGAGTAACTATCATTAAATATTCAATATTTTCTTTTCGTTTCAGTGATGTAAGTTACAATTGGACAAATTACAATTCATTTTTATATATTGAATTTTTGTTACTTCTCTTGTTTAGAATACTTGTTCACTATTCGTTTCTTGTTTTGGCTTGTGCTGTGGTGAATTGTAAGATAAATTTATTATTATATCAAATCTTTTTTTATAGATTTACTTCTTTCCTTTTTTGTTGCAGATATTCTATTATGGTGGTTTGAGTGGTTGACAAATGGTTAAGAATTAAACTGTATAAGGATCTATAGGTAATATTTAAAATAAGCAATATTTTTTCTTTTTCATTTCAGAGGTGCAACTTACACTTATCTAATCATGTTTTGTATCTAACATGAATAAACTAAGTATTCATTTTTTCTCTCTTCGCTTTTTTTAGACTGTATCCGCGTACTCTCTAAAAAAACCGTTTCCCAGAAAACCCAAACCACTTCGGAAACCCAATCGGAAACCTAAAACCGTTTGCGAGAAGGTTTCCGAGAACGAGAACTTCAACCGTTTCCCAAAATACCTTTTCGGTTTCCGAGACCTCGGAAACCCTCCGGTTTCCTAGAATACCGATTTCAATGCCCGTAAGGTATTGTAAAAAACCTTTTTCTTGCTGCGGAAACCAAATAGTATTCTCAGAAACCGTAAGGGTACACTCGGACACTAATATTGCTAGAAAAACTAAGTTGGTATCCGAATGGGTATGCGAGAATACCCTTTCGGTTTCCGAAGTCAATACTCGCAAACCTTTTAGGTTTCCGAGCGTACCAAGTGTTGAGAAAATATTCTGGAAAACCAAAACCGGTTTCCGAGATTTTTCATTTATGAAAAGTTTCCGTATTTTTCAAATTCTTGAATATTTCACACAAAATAGAACATGATCCTAGTTCAAAATATCATAAAAGGACGTTCTCGGCGATGAACCTGGACCGATCCCAAGTTCCAGGGACTGAAACGTTATACATTATATTTCAACGTCATTCTCATTTCTGATGCAAGTTTGGAATAGGTTATCGAGGTCCAGGAATTCGAATCCGTCGTCACTTTTTCGATTCGATCTCCCATTGAGCAGAAATTGGACCTGTCAAAAAAGCTTGTTAGCGCAGCCCCTTTGGGGCTAAAATGTGGAACTCACATATATCCCTTCGGCTTACTAAAATAATTCAAAATAATTCATCTGATAAATCTACCCTGATTTCCAAAACCTATAATTAGATCATTGCCTATTTGCACTTATGTCTGTAATTGAGTATTAATTGTTAGCTCGTATATTTAATAAGGGCAGAGACTGGTTTCTATGGGCTGCAATGGTACCCTAAGCTAGTTACTATGGTCTGTAATGGCACCCTAAGCTAGTTACTATGGTCTGTAATGGGCAAACATTGCTTTTTTCGTGTAGTCTGTAACTGAAAAGGGAAGAAATAGCAGCCTAATTAGTCAAGCTCCTAATTAGCACAATTTTGAGCTCATTAATGTCTGTAATGGGGAGGGTGGGGGTGGGAAGCCGCAAAAATCTCGCCTTTAAACTTACACTCGCCATTTTCTTCGAAAATATATGTGAGTTCCCCAAAATGAGTTTATTGATCGGTGTAACAAACGTTTTTTCTGAAGATTCTTATTGATAATACATAGGCATACGTTAGCATCTAATAATATCGTACTCTTTTTTGTGCTGGAAGTGTTCAATAATTGAAATGGACGTGGATTTAGATGGTTTTCTTCCTTGATAACTTTTAGTTAGAGGATGCGCTTAGATAAAAATATTTTACAATGAAAAGTGTTGTTTGGATTTACGATTCGAAAGAAGTTTGGGTCCCTTTTCAGATGTGACATTAAGATATTGGTCTCAACCATGTCTGTGTCTGCGGGAAATAGTTCCGTGTTATTCAGTCGAAGGAGTAGTCGTTCCGCTTTTTATTTTTCTTTAGATTAAAAGTCAGTTTAACAAATAATAATGGTGAGTTTGACTTTAAAAGTTAAAAGCTGATGAAATATGTTATTTCTTTTTAGATCCACCATCCCAGGTCGATCGTTCCTTTCACCGGATCCTGGAGACACTGACAGGAAAAATGCCTGAAAAACACTGCGTCCTGTAGGAAAACAGATGATATCACTGAAACATGGTAGGAGTGTTCCGGCCGCAAACTTTCTGGATTTTTTCCGATGATTTCTCGACCAACTTGCTGTGTTTTTCGGCAAGATGCACTGAAAATCATGAGAAAAAACTTGGAGAACTTTATGGGCGGGTTACTGCTTCCTTTTTCCAGTGATATCATGTGTTTCCCTACCGTTTACAGTGATTTTCAGGCGACTATCCTGTTGGTTTCTGCAGCATCCGGTGGACGGAACGATCAGCCCAGTCTATAGAGATCTAGTGGTTCTCGATGCAGAACGAGAAGTAGGAAATCTCGGAAACTTTTAATCCGTTTCCGACATTGGTATCCGAAGGAAATTTTTATTTGTTTCCTCGGTTTCCGAGATCTCGGAAACCGTGTCTGGGAAACCCTTAAAGCGTTTCCGATTTTGTTACTATCGGAAACCTATTTTGAGTTTCCTAGAATACCTTTTTTTTATAGAGAGTATCGATCAATAACAATAAGTAAGTATTCAATATCTTTTTATCCATTTCAGTAGTGCAATTTGGAATTCTACAAATGACATGGTTTTTTGTTTTGTTTTTATCTAATTTAAATAAACTCTATATTCATTTAGTTTCTATTCTCTCGTTTATAATGTGTGTTTACATCGATCAACAGCAATAATGTTATTAGTTGTCAAATAGTAAATAATTATATTCCAAAATTATTATTACATCAAATCTTTGTATACCGAGATTTACTTCTTTCCTTCTTTTTGATCTAGATCTTCTACTTTTCTTTTCTTTTTTTGAACGGTTATAACAATGGCTAAGAATCAAACTGTACAAATGGGTATATGATGTTTTGTTGTGAAACTTAATCATTGAAGGTCGTCGATTCAATCCAACAACATAAGTATATGTCATTTTTTTAAATAAATAACATATTTTTCTTTTTGTTTCAGGAGTGCAAATTACAATTTTACGATTTTCTATATTCTTGGTATCTAACATAAATATCTTTTCTTTTTTTAGACTCTATTCCCGTATCTATCAAGAAGAATCAATCTGCAGTAACTATCATTAAATATTCAATATACTTTTCTTTTTCATTTCATTGGTGCACTTTGGTATTCTACAAATGACTATATTTTTCCTTTTTGTTTTAGAATGTGTGTTTACATCGATCAACAGCAATAATGTTATTAGTTTTCAAAAAGTAAATATATTCCAAAGTTAAGAATCAAACTGAACAAGTATAAGTAATTTTTAAAATAAACAATATACTTTTCTTTTTCGTTTTAGAGGTGCAACTTACAATTATCTGATCATGTTTTGTATCTAACTTAAATAAACTCTATATTCATTTAGTTTTCTTTTTCTCTTTTTTTAGACTGTATTCACGTATCGATCAACAGCAATAACGTTATATTCATTTGATTTACTTGTATCTGTTTGTTTTTTTCGTTCTAGATCTTCTATTGTGTTGGCATCATGCTTATGTATAACAGATCTTCTTTTTCTCTCTAGACGTACAACTTACAATTTTCTATTGTTATTATTTTTTTTGTATCTAATATAAATAAACTACATATTTCTTCTCTTGTTTATAATGTTATATTCATATATATTAATCAATAAAAATTTACTTTTTACTTTTTACTTTTTAGATATTAAATAATGTTTTAGAATACTTATCTAATTCTATCATCAGACGAGAGAGAGAGGTTCGTATTATTTTTATTTGTTCCTGTGTTCTATATGATAGCCTGTCAGAACGGCTTCGTTGCCTGACCCAGATAGATTCTTCGTGTCACTCTGTTGCGGCGAAGTAGTGCAGTACTCGGGAAGGCCCGCATTATGCCCGTATGGTCCCGGACGTCGTACGGACAGGATACCTACGTTCATTGCCCTACCAGTCCGGCGTAGTCCCCTCTATGCGTATCCGTATCTGGATACACGACAGGTCTTTCTGGTCGCGCGTGCGCGTACGCGCGAATAGTAAATAATCAATAGTTATCAAAGCAATTTATTCGAGTAAATACTAGAGAAAATAAACATTTACAACTTCTCTTTCGCTGCTGCTATACCAATCATCACGTTCTTAATATCTGGATGTGTTGAAGGAAGTGACTTTCGAAAGATATCAAGTGCTTTTTCTTGAAGTGGAAGTGCTTTCGAGTATTCACCCATACTGTAATACACTCCACCGATGTTGTTGTAGGAAGTAGCCAAAAAGGGAGGAGTTGGAGGCAGAGATATTTCATAGATTTGTTTTGCTTTTTCATAATATTCCAGTGCTTTCGAGTATTCACCCATGTTGTTATACACTAGACCGATGTTGTTGTAGGAA